CATTGCACCCCTTGCATTTCATCAGCCACCCATTTAAATACTTCAATCGTCCAGAATTATAAAGTTCCTCAGTAAACATGAACCTCAGATTTAGAAAACAAACTTGTTCCAATCTGGTTCAATCTAACGGTTTCCAAATGAATGTTTTCACTCCTGACCCAAAGAAATGATAAATAAAATCAGTTGCAAGTCATCTATCTTGGCTCCCACTCATCTAACTTGCTTGGGGGTGTGGAGTGATGGAGGTAGATCAAGGGAAGGTGCATCTAGAACACTGGATCACATGCTTCTTAGCAAGGCAGCAATGTGCTCTGCCAATGAAGTCAAAGTTAACTGCAGCTGAGTTTGCAGAGCAGAGTCTTGTTGAAATAGATTGTTTGACAACAGTGTTTGACAATCATAAATTACATGGTCTAAGATTATACAGTCTACTTCTAAGGCATTTGAGAGAAGGCAGAAGGAACTAATCCTAATGTGCCAAAGAGATGTGGCATGCACACCTGGGTATCGATTGTTCTCTGTGATGGTGACTTTTTTTTTTTTAATTTAGGGTCTGTTTTAGAAATTTGAGATTTGAGAGGAAAAATATTGCTGCATAATCCCTGTGATCTTATAAAACAAGCACAAAATTGGGAGTTAATAAATAAACATTTTTCACCAGATTTTTCATTAAATTATTATTATTGGGGCTGGGGATGTGGCTCAAGTGGTAGTGCGCTCGCCTGGCATGCGTGGGGCGCTGGGTTCGATCCTCAGCACCACGTAAAAATAAAATAAAGATGTCGTGTCCACCGAAAACTAAAAATAAATATTAAAAAAAATTCTCTCTCTCTCTAAAAAAAATATTCTTATTTTCACAAATTCACTTGGGTAATCTCTAGTTTTAATTTCCCATTTGTAAAATGAGGCTACTAATACAATTTAGAAATTAGCTAACAGGGAGAATGCTCATGACTGCTCTAAAATATGTAGCTTTTTTACATATAGTTTTTCCTGATGTAATCATATTTACTTCAATCTCAATAAAGTTTTGCATATTTTCAGGTGGTAGAGAAAAATACACGGGGTACACTTTTTAACTTTACTGAAGATCTATACCATGTTGTTCTAAAATCTCTATATTTACCTTTCTAACCAAATCAAAAGCACCCAATATCAAAATTGTATTTTCGCCAGTAAATGGATAGAACTGGAGACTATCATGTTAAATATAATAAGCCAATCCCCAAAACCAAAGTCTAATAACTCTCTGCTATGCAGATGATAACACATAATAAGGGGAGAGGGGGATAGAAGTCCATTGGATTAGACAAAGGGAATGAAGGGAAGGGAGGGGGTGGGAATAGGAAAGACAGTAGAATGAATGGGAATAACTTTCCTTTGTTCATATATGAATACAGAACCAGTGTAACTCCACATTATGTACAACCACAACAATGGGAAGTTATACTCCATGTATATATAATACGTCAAAATACATTCTACTATCATGTGTGGCTAAAAAGAACCAATAAAAAAAATTTAAATGGTGTTTTCAACTAGTAGTGGTCTCCTTTGGTATTTGTAAAATTGTGTATTTATAATGGCAACTCTCACTCCTGTACTGATTCAATGCTAAACAATTCCATTGTTTTTCTAATTATTGTCAATCAAACCCTGAAATTCAAGTCACCAGGAATTTGAATAAACAAAAATTCAATCTTAGCTCTTATTACTTAATCTTAGCTTCACTTCATTTTCCTGCCCTTAGAACTGGGGTTACGTTCAAGTTTCACAGAGAGGATTCAGAAGTCTTCTCCTCACACTAGGCTGACATTATCCATGCCTAAGCCCAGTCCTGTGATGGGTGGTTCTGATGCCTCTGTGCCAAGATCTCTGGGACTCTGGGTGCTTGTCTGGCTTTGAAGCCCTGTCCCCTGGGCATACTGATAGGCATTTTCATCCTGTGTCATTCTACCTTGGTATCTAGATGGATGTTAGCCTTCAACTCCCAGCAGTATTGCTTAGTTAATTATTTTCCTTTCAATGGCTCTGACCACTCTGCACTTTAACCTGTTTTTATTCAGTGTGAATGCTTTGGTCATTTATATCTCATTCTCTCCAGTGCTGGGGGCCGGCCCCAGTGACCACCCTGTACTGCCACCTTTCTCCAGCAAGTCCTATAATCTCTCTGGGGCACTCCATGCACTATTATGCCAGGGATCTGCCACAGCTTTTGTGATGTCCCCAGTCCTGGAGAATTTATTTTTTTACCTGGAAGACTCAACGTTGGTCTCTATCCCTCTGAGCATTACTTTTTTTTTTTCTTTATTCCTTCCCTTTCCCAGAACCATCCCCTCCCCATGAAACTTCATAAGCACAATGTTGACCTATCTGGGGTTTAGGAGTTTGTCCCTACCAACTTACCCTAATAAATATGTTTATTTACTTGTTTCAACAGTTTTACATCACTGTTTATTACTTCTTAGAATGAAAGAAACCAAATGTTCCAGCATTCTTTTTTCATTTTTTTGTCCCAATTCCAAAAAAAAAAAAAATAGGCTTTTTATTTTATTGTGATCCTTTTGAGAAAACTGTGTAGCAGGCATCAGTATAGAGCAAGCAAGATCCTCAGAGTTAAGTCCTAAGGACTCCAGACAGGCATTTTCACACCTTGTTGGTTTCACCTCAGTACTTAGGCAGGTGTTAGCTTTCTAACTCCCTGAGGCACTGCTTTGTAAAGTTCTTCCTTTCAACTCCTCTCACCACTGCCCTACTTTTTGGTTCATTTTGTCATTTGGTCATTTACATGTCATTCTCTCTAATGCTCCTTCAGTTCCTAAGAAATAAGTGGGTTTTGTTTGTTTGTTTGTTTGTTGTAGTTATTGCTTTGTTTTGTTATCACCAACCATTTTTACTTTCTTCAAGTAAGAAAGAATGGTCCTTCCTCAGCCTGTCTCAGGGTCTGATGATGTTCTGAGAGATGGCTTTCCAGATAGCACAAAGGAAGTACCTCCACTCCTTCTCCCCTCTGTCTCTGTTCATATTAGCGTACTTCTAAAAGCCATTGGAAAGAAGGAATGTCAAGATAATTCATCAACTGGGTATCCAATATGGAGCACGGGGAAGATCCTGGTGGTCTGTTTGTTTCAGGGTCTCTAGGTTGATGTCATGCAGTCAACAGACAATGTTTGGAATATACACCGATCAAAAGTCTCTGACAGTATTTTTCCTCTGGCTGTATTTAGTCTGAAGAAAGTATGTTGTATAAGCTAACAATGTATGTAGGAATTAATCACCTACATTCACACTACTCTAAGATCCAAGGGCTTTTAAAGAATTTGTTCTGGCAAAACAACAGGCTTAGGATGTTCATGGAGCTTCTCAGATTGAAAATTGTTTCTTCCTCTTCCCTGTTGGTCTCCTTTCTACATATTCTTAAGTCTTCTATCCTACCTCAAGGACCTTCAGCACCTAACTCTAAGCTCTCTTATTGTTTTGTAAAGTTTCTGGGGAGACAATGATAGAAGATAAAGAAAGCTTAGTCAAGTTGACTGGGCAGGGTTTCCATATCAAAGGAGTGAAAAGTGGTGAAAGGCATCAGCCCTTCTGAGTTTGTTGCAGGGGTTTGATAGGGTGGGTGTCAATGTCAAAGACACATAGCAAGGAGTAGGGAACATTCATGTCTAATTAAGGTATTTTTCTTTCTGTAATTCCCCTGCATTCTACCCAGGATGAGAATATAAACTGCCCCCTTCCCAGGTATATTTGAAAGCACATGATCTTTAGACTCAAACTGATTCACCACTACCTGATCTGTAATTTGGAAAAACCACTTAAAATTTTGAAACTTAATTTCCTCATCTGTAACATTATAAAATCATAAAATGAGATAAAATAAGAGTCTATCTTTCTGGCACATTGGGAGGATGATAAAAATGTATTCAAAGTCTTTGGAATATAACCACTGCTCAATAAGTGGTAGATATTACTTAAGCTGGTTTTGTGAAACTTTCAGCCTTGCCCTTCATATAAATGAAGCACCAACTTTGTTAAACAGTATCTTCTTCATCTTTAATTTTCAGACCAACATAGCTGTATGGCTTTGAGACATGACTTCAACTTTATATAACCCAATCTTTTCACATGTGAAATAACAGGGATAATATCCCAAATAATGGTAGAGCTCTGCAAGTCCACGATTCTTGTAGTGTGTTATCCATTTTTTTTTCTTGATCCTAATTAAAGCAAAGAACAGTATACACATCAGTAGGCTTCATTATATAGCACAGCACCAATCAGAAGCATGGACACTGCAGTCAGATAACCTGCATCACTAATTACAAGTCCACCACTTAACATGACTGAGTCTTGACAACCTGTGGCAGGTCTCTTAGTTTCATTCCTCAGTTTCTTAATTTTCTGGACTTCCATCACACCATGTAATTTCCCAAAGGGTCTAACGATAAAAATCTTTTATACATAAACTTCTATGCTTTCATTTATTATGATGGTGTTCTGCTTTCCAAATGCAGCAAGTAGTTTTAATGAAAATATTAAATTGTTTTTACTGAGGTTGGCTAAACACAAGCTCACTTTTTGACCCAGGGGTCCTTTTATTTCTATAAATTTATTCTAAAAGGAAACTTTGAAAAGAAATCTACAGGAAAACATAAATGTTTTTGTTTTATTTAACCCAGGGGTGCTTTACCACGGAGCAATATCCCAGTTCTTTTTATATTTATTTTGGTATGAGACAGGGTCTCACTAAATTGCTGAAGGCCTCACTGATTTGCTGAAGCTGGCCTTAAACTTGAGACCTCTCCTGCCTCAGCCTCCTGAGCTGCTGGGATTACAGGTGTGTGCCACCATGTCTGGCTCCGTAAATGTGCTTAGTAGTATAGTAGTGTACAATTTTACCCCCAAAAAAGCTGGGAAAAAAGTCAAAGTTATGGTCCCAAGCTGGGAAAACAGAAATAAACTATCATATTAATTTAAAAAATCTATGCAGGCATTGAAAATCACAAATATAATAACTATTTTATTTCTGTATTTTATACTTTACAAAGTTTATCATAATATTATATCACATTTGAAGATTGTGGATAAAAGAAAAATGCTTATAAAATGTTGTAAGTGAAAGGATAAATAAAACCTCTATGTGTGAAGTATTACCACAACCACATAAAACTCTACATATAGAAAAAAAATATATATATATATACATTTACACATATCTGTGTGTATATTTAGATAGAAAGATATACACACTGTATGGTAATGAGTTTATATATCTAATTTTCTTTACTATTAAGGTCTTTACATTTAAATAGAAACTTGTCCCGATGATAAACTACTAGTTTTCAAGCAGGAGGCAATTACACTAACAAATAGGATTGTCTTTCTTCTTGATAGAATATAATCCTTAAAACAGATTTTGGCTATTAATATGCTATGCATGCATAAGCTACCATTTTTCAATTATTTTTTATAAACTAAGATGAAATTTCATAGAATGATATTCGGTCATTCCATAAAAATACAATTTTATGCAGTTTCTAAAAATAGCTGGAATTTCCCAGTACCATTTGTTGAAGATGTTATCTTTTCTCCAGTGCATGTTATTGGCACCTTTGTCTAATATAAGATAATTATAATTTTGTGGGTTAGTCTCTGTGTCCTCTATTCTGTACCATTGGTCTACCAGTCTGTTTTGGTGCCAATACCATGCTGTTTTTGTTACTATTGCTTCAACAAATGGTGCTGGAAAAACTGGAAATCCAAATGCAACAAAATGAAATTAAACCCCTATCTCTCACCATGTACAAAACTTAACTCAAAATGGATCAAGGACCTAGGAATTAAACCAGAGACTCTGAGTCTAATAGAAGAAAAAGTAGGCCCTAATCTTCATCATGTGGGATTAGGCCACAACCTATAACAATATAATTAAAACCAAAAATCAATAAATGGGATGGACTCAAATTAAAAAGTCTCTTCTCAGCAAAAGAAAGAATCTGTGAGGTGAACAGAGAGCCTACATTCTGGGAGCAAATTTTTACCCCTCACACATCAGATAGAGCACTAATCTCTAGAATATATAAGAACTCAAAAAGCTAAGCACTGAAAAAACAAATAACCCAATAAACAAATGGGCCAAGGATCTAAACAGACACTTCTCAGAAGAGGATATACAATCAACCAACAAATATATGAAAAAGTGCTCATCATCTCTAGCAATCAGAGAAATGCAAATCAAAACTACTCTAAGATATCATCTGACTCCAGTCAGAATGGCAGCTATTATGAAGGCAAACAACTGTAAGTGTTGGCAAGGATGTGGGGGAAAAGGTACACTCATACATTGCTGGTGGAACTACAAATTGGTATAGCCAATATGGAAAGCAGTATGGAGATTCATAGGAAATCTGGGAATGGAACCACCATTTGATCCAGCTATCCCTCTCCTCAAACTATACAAAAGGAATTAAAAACAGAATACTACAGGGACATAGCCACATGGATGTTTATAGCAACACAATTCACAATAGCTAAACTGTGGAGCAGACCTAGATGCCCTTCAGTGGATGAATGGATTAAAAAAATATGGCATATATACACAATGGAACATTACTCAGCATTATAAGAGAATAAGATCATGGCATTTGCAGGTAAATGGATGGTGCTGGAGAAGATAATGCTAAGTGAAGTTAGCCAATCCCCAAAAAACAAATGGTGAATGTTTTCTCTGATATAAGGAGGCTGACTCATAGTGGGGTAGGGAGGGGGAGCATGGGAGGAATAGATGAATTATAGATAGGGAAGAGGGATGAGAGGGAAAGGGAGGAAATGGGAATTGCAGTAGTGCCCAAATTAAGATTCGGAATAACACAAACACATACATTTGTTTAGGTACAGGCCAAACTGAAGATATTATATAAGTAACAGAATCTTCTGTTTTTCTTGAGAGAGTTCTTCAAAGATTTTCATTTTATTTTTGAGCCTCCAGCTTAATAATATCTGAAGAGCACAGTGAACTCCCAATCCCATCCACGTTGATTCTGTTTAAAAGTCAAATCTCATTCTTTGGAAATACAGCCTTGGTCAGCTAATAAAGCTTTTTATCCATGTAAGCATTTTAGAAAACTTTATTCCCATTTAAAAAGGGAACTCATGGCTATGACTTAACTACTAAAAAGGAAAATGCTCAATTCTTGTGGATTTTGTCTGAGTACTTTAAAAATATTTAACCAACTAGTAGGAGGCAAATAAATCTTAGGATAAGTCCAAATAATCAGACTTTAATGTTTGAGACTCTGATTCTCAAGAAAATATACATTGAGGACCTGAATCTGTTATTTAATTATCAGGCTAATGTTTGTTTGGTGTTTTTTGTTAATCCTAAAACCTCTGACCCTGGCTCCTGGTTAAACCAGAAAGATACATGGAGCACAAACCAAAGTAAGTAAGCCTCAAGTAGCATCAGAGAAGTAATGTCTCCCATTTGGCTTGCTCACTCCAAGCCAATTTAGGTTTCCATTACAAAAGAAATGTATCTGAAATATGTGCTAAAGCAATATAATTTCTTAGGAAACAATAACTTTTCTTGTTCATATAGGTACTGTTAGTTCACCATTCATCTTTTAGAAATGGACAAGTTACCCTAAGACTGTGGTCATGTACTCATGAATGGGTATCATGCTATTTATATCTGTACCATAACCATTCTCTCTAAATTGGAGTCTACCATATGCAAACATGCACATGTATACATCCATCATTTTCCCTATATCCCATTTTTATATCTTAAAATTCAATGGAACCCAAACTGCTCTAGATTTTCCTCATACTGTAATACTGTAGCATCTAGAATCTTGTTCTGTGTACTGGAGGACATTTTCAGTGCAGATAGTAAGAATAATGGTAATAACATGTCTGAAGGTGGAAATTTCCACCTAAAGAAATTATAAGTATGACAAAGTAGCTATGTCAAGAAATATGTTTTCAAAAATGACCCCCACATCATGAACGGAAGTTACTGTATTTCTTTCTCCCTTTTTCCTTCCCTTCCTTCTTTTCTCTTTCTTTCTTCTGTTTTTCTTTCTTTCATTACGTTGAAGTAATAGTCATTGCAGAGCATTTAAAAATCAGGAAAACAAAAATACAATCGTTATTATCTCATTACTTAGAGATAAATCTCACAGTATAAAGTATATATTTTATATTTTTCTGTACTATGAAATATTGATTACAAGATGTGATCATTGTACCCCCTATTTTCTCATATGCTTGATTGGGTAATGTATTATTACTTTCTATAATATGTAACACATATAATAATATACATAATAACAATATATAATTAAAATATGTTTTAAAAACTCTTACATAGCCCTCTAATTTTAATCATGATTGTAACATGGCATTTGGATGTATATTAAGTTCTCTAAAACCTAGGACATTGCTGTTGATGTTTTTGAAAGTTTTCTCCCAAGATTCCACTTGGTGGAATACAGGAATACCTATGTTCCTGGATATCTCAGATTTCCTGAAGGAGCCCTGAACTTAGCACTCTGGTGGAACTGCAGCTGATTCTATAATCACCCACCTCAGGCTGCCTGGTACCTGCTGAGAGCCACCTGAGGAATATGTCTCATGCCATGTGAGTGTGAGGTAAAATTGTACTACACAGCTATATTTTTACAAAGATTTCAAGTATGTCCAATGATCTCCATCATTATTTTTTAAAAATAACTTTAAATGCTCCCATATTCCTTTCCTTACATTCACAAAGGGATATTCTTTTTTTTTTTCTTCATACGTTTCTGTTTCCAAATCCAATTAAATGTGTTTAGGAAAGTATTGGGTAAAACTAGGACTAGTTCCTCACATTTTAGGGTAGAAAAGTGATTAATATATGCATCTTTTGTACCTAGAAATAAAATTGCCATTCAATAAAAAATATGTTTAAAAATGTGGAAAATTAGAACTGTTCAGGAAGTGTTCAATTTCAATCATTTTAACTACTGATGGTGCTTGTGTTTATGAAGGCTTCAGTTACAACTTTTTAACTTTACAGTGATGCAAAGGCTGTATGTATTCAGCAGAAAGTGTAATATGAGTTTTGAATTTTGGTCTTCATAGGCTAATGGTATATGGTATGATCTTCTCTTGCCATGCTAAGCAACAGTGAGGCACAGCTCACAGTCAACCACATGATCATGAGAGTGAACAGAGATGCTCTACAGTGTACAGTGTGGCTAAGTGAAGATGTTCAGTTTGTTAGATGTATTAAATGCATTTTTGATTTATGGTATTTTGGAATCGTGATAGGTGTATTAGAATGTAACCCTATCTTAAGGTAAAGAGCATGTATATTTCCATATATCTTTAGTAGTAGGTAAAAAGACCTCACAGTTTGTCTTTAAACATCCACATAAAATGATTACAATCCTAAAAGCTTACATATTTCTGGTTACACTTGGTTTTCATCTAAATGACTTTCACAGATTCAAGGTATAATCAAGTAAAGCTGTTCCAAAGTTCCGAAAAAAGGAGCAGAATTGAAGAGAACAAAAGGGGAAAAAAGTGTTCAAAAATGCTTTTTCTTTTTAGTTTTCAAGTTAGAAAAAATTCCATTCTGCTCATCCATGAACACCATTGTATCCTAAATGGACGGACTCCAAAGACTTTAGGCCAGGCTCCATTAAGAATTGACTTAAACATCACCACTAGGACAGGCTAGGAAGGCTTCTTCAAGAACCAAAGAAGGGCCTGAGGATGTAGCTCAGTGGTAAAGTTCTTTCCTGGTATGTAGAGCCCCCTGTGTTCAAATCCCAGCTCTATAAGAAGAAAACAAAAGAATCAACCAAAAAAAAAAACTAACACATCTTTACTCTGGTCACTATTGGAATGTCATCCATGCTTCTGAATGATTTTTTTCATCATACTTTTACATTTCAATGCAATTTTCTTTTCAAATTATAATTCTGAAACCAGGATCTCAAAACCCAAAAGACAAAAATAAAATTTCTGAGACAAAGAAATGGAGGAAACAAAATGAAATTATTTTATGCTCTGGTAAAAGACCCTTAGGCAATTACTGGCTGTACTGATTATAAAAAAAGAAAATATATATTTTTTTAAATTGCCTTTACTTTTAAAATACATGACAGCGGAATGCATCACAATTCTTATTACACATATAGAACACAGTTTTTCATATCTCTCTATATAAAGTATGTTCACACCAATTCATGTCTTCATACATGTACTTTGGATAATGATGTCCATCACATTCCACCATCATTGCTAACCCCCTGCCCCCTCCCTTCTCTTCCCACCCCTCTGCCCTATCTAGAGTTTGTCTATTTCTCCCATGTTCCCTTTCCCTACCCAACTATGAGTCATCATGTGGGATTAGGCCCCAACTTCCTTAATAGGACTCCTATAGCACAAGAATTAAAAACAAGAATCAATAAATGGGATGGACTCAAACTAAAAAGTTTCTTCTCAGCAAAAGAAACAATCTGTGAGGTGAAAAGGGAGCCTACATCTTGGGAGCAATTTTTTACCCCTCACACATCAGCTAGAGCACTAATCTCTAGGGTACATGAAGAACTCAAAAAGCTAAACACCAAAAAAATAACCCAATAAATAAATGGGCCAAGGACATGAACAGACATTTCTCAGAAGAGGATATTCAATCAGTCAACAAATATATGAAAAAATGTGCATCATCTCTAGCAATTAAAGAAATGCAAATCAAAACTACTCTAAGATACCATCTCACCCCAGACAGAACGGCAGCTATTATGAAGACAAACAACAATAAATGTTGGTGAGAAAGGGGTGAAAAAGGCACACTCATACACTGCTAGTGGGACTACAAATTGGTGCAGCGAATATGGAAAGCAGTATGGAGATTCCTTGGAAAACTTGAAATGGAACCACCATTTGACCCAGCTATCCCTCTCCTTGGTCTATACCCAAAGGACTTAAAAACAGCATACAACAGGGACACAGCCACATCAATGTTTATAGCAACACAATTCAAAATAGCTAAACTGTGGAACCAACCTAGATGCCCTTCAGTAGATGAAGGGATTATAAAAATATGGCATATATACAGAATGGAATATTGCTCAGCAATAAAAGAGAATAAAATCATGGCATTTGCAGGTAAATGGATGTAGTTGGAGAAGATAATGCTAAGTGAAATTAGCCAATCCCTCCCCCCCCAAAAAAAAAAAAACAAATGGCAAATGTTTTCTCTGATATAAAAAAAATATCTTACTATGGCAGTATAATAATTAAATACCAAGAACGGTTTCCATTTTTATTATTTCTGAATTGAGACATAATTGAAAATTTTCCTTTTATATCTTATTTTGTTGAAAAATAACTTCAATGGCCTTTCTTTTTTTTCTTTTTTTTTTAATTCTGACTTTGACTCTTTTCTTATCCTTCACTGAGAAATAGAATGGGTTTGGTAATGAGAAAATAGCCTTTTAACTTTGTCATGTGTTATACATGTTATACAACATATTAACTCATTTAAAAATTTCATCATTAGTTAAATCTGATGCCACCAGAATAAGCAGGTTGCAGTGAACTTCAAAAGCACATTCTAAGCTGAGGTAACATTGCAATAAATACTAAACAACTGAAGACTCCTTACTTTTATGTGCATCCTTAACGATCTCAGGATACTGCTAGGATTTTCTTTTGTTTTCACTCAGAATTTAGCTAGAAAATTGAGACAAAATACATGTAATTTTTTTATTACTTATTTTAACTTTCTACTACCTTAGTTAGTAACCTTAGTACTATAAGTATTATTTCTCTTTTTACTGAATGTATCTAAAAACAGCAAATTGTTTCTATTTGTAAGACTTTCAGATTTATAGTTTCCTATGGCTAAATTTGGAGACAATGAAGAGCCTGGTTTCATGAGAGATTTTAGATTGTACATTCTATAGATGAAATTTTCAAAAGCAGAGGCAAGGTATAATCAGTGGCATTCTCAAAGAAAACTGAAAAAAAAAAAAAACTGGAAAAAGGGGATATTGAAGGCAGAAACAAACTGTTTGAGAATTTGGTATGAATTGGACTAGTGGCCTGAGGATACAATTTAAATATTTTTCTTATAGCTGGGAATGACACTCATACCCAATGTAGGGTTGCAATTCAGATTCTGCCTCCAGCTTTACAATCAAATGGGTAGAAAGAACCTGTTATTTATTAATGTCCTTAAACTCAAGAGACTGAAAATAGAATTACCATAATATACTCCAAACTGTAGTTAGAAAAAAAAATTCTTCTTACCTTTAAGATCAACAGATCGCCTTGCTTCATTTTAGGGCATTCCTCAGGGCCTGGTAATTTAAGCAAATTAATATAAATTAGTGCATGATTTGTATTTTTAAAAACAGAGTAGCTTTCTACTACAGAGAAAGACTTCTGAACTTGCTTTTTCAACTTGAGAGATAGGACCCCATTTTTAAAATAGTTTTGGCTCCTATTGACAAAAATTGCCTGCATCTTGCCACAAGTTAATTGTTAAAAAAAAATCAAAATGTATTTTTTTAAAAAAGAACTCTGAACTCCTTATAAAATTTACTTGCCTGGTAAATACACTCAAGAAGTTTTCTTGGTAATTTGCATTTTTGCCTTTCCTATCTTGCTATGTAAAAGGCAAATTTTATTTCTTTTCTCTGAGGAAGTTATACTTTAACTCAGAATATGGAACTCTAAGATATGCAGACCTTGGTTGTAATTCAAACTCCACCACTCACTAGTTTATAGTGTGTAGGCTAATTATTCTCATCTCTAAAATAAGAATAATAACAACTACCTCATAAAAGTCTTAAGAGAATTAACTGAGATAATATTTCTAAAATTCACAGTCCTATATTCTCATAAGACACAAAATGTGGTCACATTGTTAGTTCCTTGCCTCTTCTCCACCTGTCTTCCTGCCCTGGTCCTCCCTTTCCCACAACCTAGCCTCTAAATAATGCAAAAGTAATTGTTGGAACATTAGCATGAATGCCTAGATCCAGTTGTTGCTGAATTAACTCAGTAGTGAACTTTGCATTCCATCCCCAACCTTTCCCCACCATTAATTCTCTTTCCCAACCCCCTGGAACACAGGAGTACACCAGGACACCCAGCTAACCATGAAAACAGTCATGCATGTGAGTATTTTTTATTAGTTTCAACTGGTCTGATTCTGCCTCCAAGACTAGACAGAACTCCTGTTGCTCACAATTAACTGACTCTGGCCATGTGGTGACTGCCATCAAGACCTGCTACAAACAGAACAGCAGTTCAATAAAATCCTAAACTCTATTTATAGCCCACTTGAAACAAGCACTCTCCTATGAAGCTCAAGGAGCCCTCTCTGAGAATACAGAAAGCAATTCACTGGTCCTGGTACTAACTAGGGCAATTGAAGGGAGATAAGTGCATTTTCCCAGCAAGCACATTTTCCCCAGCACTCTGCAAAATACAAAGCATTTTTTCCCACACATTGTTCCATTTCAACTTCACACCACCCAACCCAGGAAGTAGACAAAGAAAATGCTGGCAACAAATCCCTGTTTCATAGATTGCAAGACTGATGCCTAGGAGGTTAAATAAATTGCTGGTTAACTGGTGGTTGGAGGAAGGGAAAGGAAAGTGGCTAAACTGTGAGCACAATTTCTTGTTCAAGCAATCACTCTACAATTCAGTAAATAATTATTTGACTATATGAAAAATTTACAACTAAAAAGAAATACTGTTTCATAGAGTATTTGTAAGTATTAATATTTTTCCTTCTGCATTTCTGAGAACATCAAAACCTGAGAAATGAAAACTTGATACTTCGACTTGATACTTTACAGAGAAACACTTTTTTAAAAAATATGTTTTCTTTGTTGTTGTTGTTGTAGTTGAACATAATACCTATTTTTTTAATCAATTTATTTTTATGTGGTGCTGAGGATCAAACCCAGGGCCTCACACATGCTAGGCAAGCACTCTACCACTGAGCCACAACCCCAGCTTCTACAGAGAAACACTTTATAAACATGTCAGCATCTATATAGTATATACATACAGAGCAATTGCATTTTGTGCAAGAAATATCTTCTTGTAGATGCCCAAACTAAAATGTGCATAAGTCAAGACTAATCTTGAAAAAGATGGTAGGAATTTTTATGAGAAATTTTAATTGATTCTGTCAGTCAACTCTGAAATAACAACATCTTTATTATTTTTTTTTAATATGGGAGTTGTTTGCACAATTCCAGTATGTAAGCAAAACATGAGACTTAATTAATATGGTTTAGTTTATGGATCTGAAATTTTTTTGCTCTTAGAATAATTATTTTGATTTTGACAAGTGCTTTAATTTTTATGAAACGCTTCTTCAAGCCTTGTTGCTTGGAAAATATAGGAAAAAAATTGTTTGACTTGAGAAAGATATCTCGTCAATTAGTATAGCTACCATGAAGACTGCCAGTGTGTGTGTGTGTGTGTGTAGGAGAGAGAGAGAGAGAGAGAGAGAGAGAGAGAGAGAGAGAGAGAGCGCGAGAGAGAGAGAGAGAGAGAGAGAGAGAGAGAGAGAGAGAGAGAGAAGGAGAAAGAGATTATTGCTTAATGAATGCCCCCAGGGTTAGCTCCTTGGCTTGATGCCATGTGAGATTCTCAGATTTACTGCTTCTGTGACCTCCTATTGTCCCAGCTCTGATTTATGGAATTTGGTATTTTTTGAAAGGCAAGGTGTCTGGAGTTTAGGGTCTTTCCTTGACAGCCGTTCCTCTCCCCCTTACAGTCAGTCTGATTTTATTCACCTTGTGGTGACCTTGCAGAACTCAGCATTTTTACCTGAGCTCAGTAGCTGGGGAGCCCACTAGCGCTGGCTGGGAGAGAGCCGGTGGTTTCCATTCCTGGGTGATGGAGTCATGGGAGAAACTGCAGTGAGCAAACACAGAGTAGGACCTGAGCAGGGCTCGAATGTGCTTTAAGCAGCTCAGGACAGAGCAGCAGCTCAGGACAGAGCAGCTGCTCTGTCTCCCAGCCTGCATTTGTCACTGACCACTGAAGTGTGTGTTTGTGCAAGGTGAGAGTCGGGGGCTTTTTCCTTAATTTGGAGACAAATTGCCAGGTATTGCTGTTAATTGTGTTTGATAATTTGGGGATATGTATAACACCACAAATTCAGGACCTGAACTATGCTTGGTTTTATTTTTGCCCTTGTATTCTGTCACGATCCATTCAGCTCTCCCGGTGTCCAAATTGTGGCAACAGATTGGGCATGGAGCTGTTCTTCTGCGCCGAAATGTGATCATTATAAGTGCCATTTTTCTTGGATTCTTTCATTAATTGCTGCTGCCAAATCACATAACTGTTCATATGCAGAATTCCAGTGCTTACTGGAAGGCATATGAAAACTGCTTCAGATGTTAACCTGATAGATATTTTTTTGAGTACTTACTGTGGTGTATTCTTTGCTTCATCCACTTGGCAGTGGTCGAAACTTTCCAGAGTAGAGTGCCATGAGGTCTGATCTGATGATAAGAATAACGTGGAGTTTTCTGTGTGTTTTCTTGTGAAAATGAAAACTTCTACTTGGCCTTTGGTATGCCTGTGTGTGTGTGTGTGTGTGTGTGTGTAGGAGGGGAGTGATTTTGAAACAACCAAGACCAAAAAACAAACAAACAAACCTAGATAATAATTGCTATCGTTTTGAGGTGCTTATAATTATCATAATTAACCTAATGGAGCTTTTGTTTTCAGCATATTTGAACTGTGTGACTTCACATTCTGTGTGTACAGGACAATACAACTATTGAATAAGCTTGTGAAAGTATGTAGGAGCATAGATTATGTCCTCACTAGGAGTACACACAATAGGAGTCAAAACTACTCTCTTGGGTAAACAGATGGACCTTAATCCTGAGCCAGTTTTGTATGTTAGCTACTCAAGTAAATCTATAAAATCGGTATAAGGGGCACACTGTTTTCTGGTAACTAAGCAAATATACAGAAGATTCGTATACATGAAATACATATTCTATAAAAGTGAAAAATGCAGGAATTTAGTATTGTATAGGTACAAAAAGAAAAAGTTAGAAAAGCTATTAAATTTAGAAAGGAGAAAAAAAGTACAAAACAATAAAAAAGTAATAATGAGGGAGTACTGAAAAGTACTCTAGCTTCTCAAATTTTTATGTCTAATGAAAGAATAATAACATGTTTAAGGAAGTTCAGAGTCAGCAGAAACAAAGCCAAGTGCAAAAATTCTTAATAAAACACATTGTCAACTGTGGAATGTACTTGTCTGTCTTAATTAAGTTGAATTCTTTTGCTGAGAAACATAAAATTAATTGAAAAACATTACATATTTAAATTGCATTTCTAACTGGTCTCCAGTAAGTTTTAAATACTAATAAATAAATTTATTTAACTACAATGAGCAATTATTTTAAACAATTAACAAATAACCTACAATAACAAAATCATCCTAGTTTTGAATTAAGTTTAGTTTAGAAAAAAATTCTAGTATTCTAAATTAGTATGTTACCTGTTTCTACCTACATACAGACTGGTAAGTTCCTTGGGCACTGTCTTCATGGTCTCTTTGCTTTCATTCTCTTGTAAGAACACTATGGACTGATCAGCAGAAAATGCCTGTCTGACTCCAACATTGTCATGCTTCTTTTGCAAGCTTAGAACAAGAAAGGTTTCATTTCACAGATGTGGAACTGGAGGTATACAAAGGAGTGATGATTGACATTTCCATATTGGAGCCTGTACCACATTGACTTTTCTGCTGCCATGATCTAAAAATATGGCCACTTCTTTAAAAAATGTTTAACTTGCTTTTACTACCATGACTGGACAGATGCATATGAGGATCTCTAATCACTGATTAACATATGAATACCCATATCTCTCTGATAATAAGAGTTCAATATGTTCAAATGTGATCCATGGGTACCCATAGTCTTCTTCCATGCAAAAAGACTAGAAAGTTAGTCATCTATTAAATGAGACACAATCGATGTAAATAGCTAGGTAAAGCCTTGAATGGTGCCTGTGTTTATTCTTTAGATAACTAGCTTACTTCAAAATGCAAAGAGGTTTAGAAGGTTTAGAGATTATCAGTACTGACCTCAAAGTACATACCAGTCTGGTCAAACACATTTACTTCTATGTAATTAAACTTCCCTAGTTGAAGGAAAACATTAACCTTTATGTATTTATTTGATAATAATCTCTAATTTTCTAAAATGCAAAAACATTGTATTCTTGCTCCCTCTTTTTCTCTAAGCTTGATACTTTTATTCCAGACTTTCAACTTACTAAATCCTTAATTTACTGAATGTTGTTTCTTTGCCCTACCCAAAATTTCTACACTTTGGCCAAGAAAGCAGTTATGATTTATCCTCTGGGACTGGGGAAAGACCCACATCCCCTGAGATCAATTGATCGCTTCCCATTGGCTGAGCAGGAAATGGGTGGGTAGTGGGAAAGGGAGATAAATGGCTACCATACAGATAGTAACTATTCCTACTGTAAAAACTTAATATTTCTGTGATTCATGCTGGTTTATCCATCCAACCTAGCCAGGTCTGGAAACCTATATACTGACATGCTTTTACTTTCATAGATTTTTGGTAAACTGAGATGAAACATGATTTGTAGTACATGGGGTGGCTTTAAGTATTATCAGTAGTTTTTAATCTCTTTACTTCAGCCAATAAGTTCTACTCTGCCTACGAACTCCTTAGAAAGAAGTGTAGATTCAGATAAAATAATGAACACTTATATAACTTTTAACTATTTCTTCTAAATTCCTTGAAGTAGGCCTAAGTTGTTTGCAGAGAAGGAACATGGAAGGCAAGGTTGTAATATGACTAATTATCTGGAAATGTCCCTCTGAGGTCACAAGGTTCCTCAGTAGAACCCTGAGCTGCAAGGACTGGACTTGGCCACTGGAATAGGAACAGGTGGTGACAGATGATTTGCTACAGAGTCAGGGACTATAGGCATTTTCTGCAAGTCTCCAAGTTTGCCTCATTTATCTTGCTATTTTGTTGTTGT